CAGCATTCCCATGGGAATGAACCCAGGGACAGAGCAGCATTCCCATGGGAATGAACCCTTCAGTGGTCCCACAGCAGGATTCCCAGTGGGAATGAACCCAGGGACACAGCAGCAGTCCCAGCAGGCCTGAGCCCTCCCTGGTTCCACAGCAGAATTCCCAGCAGGAATTAACCCCTCCCCACGCCCAGGCCAGCCTTCCCAGCAGGAATTAACCCCTCCCCACGCCCAGACCAGCCTTCCCAGCAGGAATTAACCCCTCCCCACGGCCAGGCCAGCCCTCCCAGGCGCAGCCCTGACCATGTGCCTGCGGAGGATGGTCTGGCTCTTCATGTACTTGAGGCAGAACTCGCACATGTAGAGGCGCCCGAGGCGCGCGTACTCCTCGGGGTAGGGCGAGTGGTACCACGTGTCCAGCTCGTAGCGCCCGAACGCGATGGTTTTGATCATGTTACTGCCCTCGGTGATCTGCCCCTGCAGCCTCAGCTTCTCCTGCCCCGGGGGACACACAGGAACAGCCAAAACGTTCAGTAAAAGCAGCCGGAGGAGAATTGGGGTTTTGGTTTTGCTGCGGGAAATCTGGTTTTAAATTCATCTTTAAATTCCTCGCCATTCCCTGATCCTTTGCTGGTCCACAGGGATGGGATGGGAGTGCAGTGAGGGAGCTGGGGGTGTTTATTCTGGAGAAAAGGGTCAGGGGAGATCTCATGTGAGTGCAGTGAGGGAGCTGGGGGTGTTTATTCTGGAGAAAAGGGTCAGGGGAGATCTCATGTGAGTGCAGTGAGGGAGCTGGGGGTGTTTATTTATGCAGGTTTAGGCTGCACAGAAGGAGTTTCTTCTCAGGAAGAGGGATTGGGAATTGGAAGGGGCTGCCCAGGGAAGTGTCACCATCCCTGAGCTGTTTGGAACAGCCTGGATGTGGCACTGGGTGACAGGGTGGTGTCAGGTCACGGGTGGCACTGGATGATCTCAGAGGGCTCTTCCAGCCCAGGTCACTCTGTGACACTGCCCAAGGCCCTGCCCCAGATACCCCAACTGTGCCAGGGAAGCATCAAAGGATTGTTTGATCCCTCCCTGGAATGGGATGTGGCTTTGGGAAGCTCCACAGGAGCTGTGAACTCAGTCAGGAGCTAAGGCTGAGGTGGCTTTTGTTGTGACCAGCCCTCAGCAGGGCAGCCGAAGCTGTCATTGTCCCCTGGGAGCACCCCTGGAATGTCACTGCACATTCCTGAGCGCACAGCTCAGCTCCAGCTGCTCCTCCAGCTCTCCTTGGGGATGGCTGGAATTCATCTGCCAGCCTCGGGCTGACTGTGCTGGCCTGGAGCTGCCCCCAAACTCCCTGTCCCTGTCCCCCCAGACCCCAGGAAGGGCCCCCAGCCCCAGGGATGATCTCACCAGGTCCTCAGAGGCGCGTGCCTGGGCCCTCCTGAACAGCTCCAGGTCGTACTCGCTGGTCAGGTTCTCCAGGAGAGGCTCCCTGGTGTTGCCATAGGTTTGTCTGTGCTCCTGGAACACCAAAGGACAGGAATTTGGGCTGCTGGGCTGCTGGATCCTGCAGCTTTTCTAGCTGGGAATGCTGCAGGATGACTGGGAGAGGCAAACTCCATCCCAGGGGGAATGGAAGGATGAGATTCCTGCCTTTACCATGTATTTCTCCTTCTGCTCCTTGCTCAGCCCCGAGTTCCTCTTCTTCCTGAGCTCAGCCACCTTCTCCTTGTACCGCAGCTGCCTCTCTGTGGGGGCCTGGAAAAAACCCCAGGGTGGGATCTTGAGGGGCTCCAGCCCCTCCAAACATCCCCCTTCACTCCCAGCCCATGGAATTCCATCCTGGCTGCCATTCCAGGAGGAATGGCCTCTGCTAATCACAGGGCACTGCAGGTGCAGCACAGGAATGCAAAGCAGGAAATTTCCCTTCCACCACAGCACAGGGTGAGCTCCTCATGGAATGCTCAGTGCTGGGAAACAGCTCCCAGCTGACTCAGGGGCTGGGAAATGTCACTGCCCTGCTTTGCTTCTCTGCTGGTTACTCAGAGAGGAATCACAGCTGTGCAGGGAATTCCCTGCACATCCAAACTCAGGGGAAGGATCATCCTGAGAACACAGCTCTGCAGGAATTCCAAACTCAGGGGAAGGATCATCCTGAGAGCACAGCTCTGCAGGAATTCCAAACTCAGGGGAAGGATCATCCCGAGAGCACAGCTCTGCAGGAATTCCAAACTCAGGGGAAGGATCATCCTGAGAGCACAGCTCTGCAGGAATTCCAAATTCAGGGAGAGGATCATCCTGAGAGCACAGCTCTGCAGGAATTCCCTGCACATCCAAACTCAGGGAAAGCGTTCCCTGCCTGCTCCACCCTCACTGAAGGGACAGAAGGAGTTTCCCAGCTGGAATGGCAGCTGGGCAGGGTGAGGGTTGCCCTGCAGCCCCTCAGGGATGTGGGGAAGGGAGCCCAGGCTCCAGCCCTGTGCCCCTCACCTGGTGCCTGGTGGCGTGCCTGTTGTTGTCATCCTGCCTGTGAGCCAACATCCGCTCCTCAATCTGCTTGTCCCGGCTCTGAGCTCGCACCTGGAGGCCAAAATTCACCTGTCAGGGCTGCAGGCAGCTCCTGTCCCCCTTCCCTTCCCTTCCCTTCCCTTCCCNCCCTTCCCTTCCCTTCCCTTCCCTTCCCTTCCCTGTGAATTCCAACTCCCAGGTGTGACACACAGACACTGCTGCCTCACACGTGTGAGCTGCTTTCTGCTCACGCACTACAAGGCTCAGCATCTCGTCCTAAAAAACCCCAAAACAGGAGAAATCAGAAGGTAAAAAAGGTGGATGTTCACCTTGCACTCGTCTGCTGAGAGGTTGTGGTACAGAGGGCAGCCCGAGATGGAGAAGTGGCGCTCGTGCTTCCCGGTCAGGTGTCCTGCAAAGGGTCAGGGAAACAACAGAACTCCTGACAAACGATCCCAAAGAGGTGGGAAAGTCTCCCAGGTGGGCAGAGCCCTCACAGGAGTGTGCTCAGGTCACTGACAGGGGCATAGGAGGAGGAAACCTCCTGGTTTAGAAAGGAAGGAGAATCTTTCTCACACTCAGCCAAAGCAGGCAGAGATGGGAGTGCAAGGATTTGGGACTGAAATCCTGTTTGTGGCAAAAAACAGCTCCCTGACCACAAATCTGAGACTTTTCCTCCCACACCTCAACCTTCTATCTGGTTCCTTTTCCCCCAAAACAGAAAACATTTCCAGCAACACCACCTCTTCATTAATACCCCATATCCCATCCCCAGCCCCATTTTTTGTCATTCCTGACCCTAATCCACCCCGTTTTTAGGGTCTAACACCCAGGAAGGAGGCAGGAACCCCGCAGCAGGCCGGGGGCTGCCCTTGGAGCTGCCATTACCCAGGGAGTTGCAGCCAGGAGTTGGACACTTCATGTTGAAGTTGTAGCTCTCGTGGAAGCGGCGGCGCTTGGGCCGGTGGGACAGGTCACTGCCCGAGTCCTTGAGGGACATGTCCTTGGCCAGGCTCTCGTCGTGGGACACGTTGGGGCTGGAGATGTCGATGTCAGACTCCGAGGAAGGGGCGTTGCCCGTGGGGGTGCGGGGAGGGGACTCGTCGTGATCCGCAGCGTTTTTGGTGTCTGGGGGAAGAGCAGAGGGGGAAAGAGCTGCAGAAAAAAAAGCTCCCAAAATACCTCAGGGGCTGTGAGGAGCCTCTCCCCGGCTTGGAGCAGGGATTCCCTGTCCCTGATTATCCATTCCCTGTCCCTCAAGGACCATTCCCTGCCCCTCAGGGACCGTCCCCTGCCCCTCAGGGACCATTCCCTGCCCCTCAGGGACCGTCCCCTGCCCCTCAGGGACCATTCCCTGCCCCTCAGGGACCATTCCCTGCCCCTGCACTCACCTCTGTCCGAGAAATCCACGGCCTGCTCGGTCTCAGAGCCCGACGAGCGGGTCTGGCGCAGTGGGTACTTTTTGGGGGTGACAGGAGCCGGCTGCTGCTGGCTGCGGGTCACCCTCCGTGTGGAGTACACGGGCTCGTCCGCGCCCAGGGACGGCGCGTTCCGCACCGGGCTGGAGTCTGCCACGGGGGGGACACAGGGTTACAGCGGGGGGACAGCGTGGGGACAGCACAGGGACACCAGGGAGACAGCGTGGGGACACCCAGGAGCCACAGGGATAGCGCAGTTACACTGGGGGGACACCACAATTACACCACAGGGACCCCCTGCCCCACACTGACCAACACCCCATGGCCCTGCCCTGCCTGTGCCACCCGCTCTGGCCTTGCCTGATAAAATCCAAGGACACTTGGAGCAATCTGGACTAACACCAAGTTTAACAACTTAATTAAGCCATAATTACCGCCCAGCTCCCATTTTGGAGGAGTAGAGATTCCCTAGTTTAGGTAAGAACCGCCAGGGTTTAGATAAGAACCCACAGCCCTTGGGAACAGCAGGATTGCTGTGGGGTGCAGCTAAATCTGGGGTTTTGTGTGTGTGTGTGGGGCTGGGTTAAGGAGGAGACTCTCCCTAGTTTTAGGAGGATCTTTTGCCCTGGTTTAAGGAAGCCTTTCCTGGTTTAAAGAGGAGCCTTTCCCCGGTTTAAGGAGCCTTTTTCTCACCCTGGGAGCTCTGGCTGAGCCTGGCCGAGGAGCGGGTGACACGGGCGGATCTCCTGGAGGTGCCATCGCTCTCGGAGCTGTCCGTGTGCTCGGGATCCGTGGAGAAATCCGAGTCCTCCGTCCCATCCGAGCTGCTGCCCGCGTTCCTCTGCAACAGAGCATTCACGTACTGTACTTCTCTCGTTAAAAAAAAAACCCACAAAAATAAGAGTGGATATTTCATATTTTCCACGCCCTCCCAGCCACTTCAGCTATGTGGTTTAACCCAAGTCAAGGATTCTTTTTTTTCCTTTCTCTGGCTCTTGCTCTGCCAGAGGAGTTTTCAAAAGGAAACCGGGCCAGGTGGTCCCACCTGGCCAAAGGGATGTTCCCCACCACAAAGCACCATTCCCAGTCTATAAACTGGAGGAATTATTGGGAATTATCCCAAAGTGCGGGAAGCAATCTGGATGTCAGAAGAGGCTTGGAATCAGTCAGAAATTGCTGTTTTTTCTCCCTTCCCTTTTTGTTATCATGGTTATTTAACACTACTACGGCATTTTACTCCATTTCTCATTACTACATCGTTCACACTTCAACCTACAAGCTTTATTTTTGTTTCCCCCCATTCCAGGCTTAGGCTTAATTTGTAGCTGCGGTTAAACCGCAACACCCTGAGGGGACACCGGGGGTCTGGGGGCGACGGCAGGTGCAGGTCGGAGCTGAGGGGCGGCTGCAGGACCCCGGGGAGGGCAGGGCCGTGAGGGGGCGGCAATGGCGGCGGCCGTGAGGGGAACGGGGGGAGCGCTGCCGCCATGAGGGGAGGGGGGGGCGGCCTCGCGCCGGTGGCGGGAGCGCGGCCCCCGCGCCGCTTTGTTTTGCACCCAGCGGAGCCGCGCGGGCGCCAGCCAATCACAGAGCACGTGGGCGGGGCCGAGAGGGAGGCCCACCTATAGCAGCTCGAGGAGCAAAAAGGCGGGCTCGGCCGGGCGTGATTGACAGCGAACGGCGGCCAACCGGCGCGAGGCTTGCTCCCACGGCAACGCCAAACGGGGGGGGCCGCGGAGCAATGGGGGAAGGGAGAAACAAGGCTCGCGCGGGGAGGTGACCGTTGGGAGCGAGGATGGACAGCGGCAAGAGCCAATCAGCGGCCAGCCCGGCATGGAGACGCGTCCAATAAACGGCCAACTCTCCAAGCTCGTGCCCAATCAGAAACGGCAGGGGGCGGGTCCCGCCGCCGGCGCGGGGGAGGGGAAAAGGTGGCCGTTGGGGGTGATGAGTGACAAGCAGAGCGGCCAATCAGCGCTTGGCCTGCTCGTGCTCGAGCCAATCAGAGAGCGCGGGAGGCGAGCGCTGGGGGCTCAAGGCCGCTATTTTCCCCCCAGTTTTGGGCCCGGGAGAGGGAGCGGAGGGGCTGCCGAAGGGCAGAAAGCACTGGCCCGAGCCCGCCGGTCTCCCCACGGGCCGCTTCCCCCGGTTCCCAGCCGTGCTCACCTTCCTGCGCTGCATCCTGGGCGGGGGCAGCGAGGTTGCCTGGTCTCCGGCGCCTGCGGCCCGCGAAGCGGCGGTGGCCGCCGCGGTGTTGGCGCTAGCGGACTCCGTGGTGACAGCCGTGTCCCCCGCCCTACGGCACGTCTGCTCCGGCGGCGCCAGCCCCGCTCCCGCCAGCCGCTGGTCCCTACTCGGTCCCTCACGCTTCCGCCGGGACGCGGCCCACGCCCCCGTCACGTGATCGTGCGCCATCTTGGAGCCGGGCAGGCGGAGCCGGCAGTGAAGCCGCGCGCCGCCATTGTTGTTTCGGGCTGCGCGCTCCGGAAGGGGGCGGCTGTGGCGGCCGCCATCTTTAATAAGGGCACAGGGCGGGCACGGCGCGCCCGTTCCCGAGGCCGCCGTGGTGAGTGCGGGCACGGCCGAGGAGCTTCCAGAGCTCCCTCGCAGTGTGAAGCCTCGAGAACTGCAGCGCTGGCAGCTCCTCCGTGGAGTCTGCGGGAAGCAGCGCCCTGGAGATGGGATGTGCCAGCACAGGGATTGGGTATCGTGATGGAGTTCCCGTAAGGATGAGCGAAACTGTGAAGGACAAAGCGCCATGGAGGGGGTTCATCCCTCCCTGGCCAAAGTACTTTGCTAACTCGCTGCTCCCCCGGCCCCGCCGAGCATGGGAACCTCCCAGAGGCGCGGCTTGGAGCAGCGGGAGCGACTGAACGGGGCCTCAGGAGGGGCGGGCCGGGACCCGACACCTCCGCCCCGCCGGGTTCGGGTTGGACCCCGGAAGGCCCCGCTCGGTGTCGCCGAGAGCGAGCGGAGCATCTCCGCCGGGATCACCAATTAGAGCCCGTCCCTGTGCCCCGTCCCCTCAGGGCACCCAATCGCCGCAATCCACATCGGGTGGCGCTTCTGCACGCGCCGCGCACCGCGGAGGTCCCCAAGGCTCGGGTGCCCACCGCAGTGCCTGCCCCACGCCGCGCCCCGCCGCTCCCATCGCGGCCGAACCGCGGCCAGCGCAGCCCCGGGGACGGTTCGGAGATCGCGGCGCGGATCCCCCGCGCTGCTCCGCGCTGTCCCCAGCGCCTCTCGCCCGCCTTTTCCCCCCGCCGCGGGTCCGGCAGCGCGCTGGGCGGCGCGGGGCGGGGCGGGAGCGGCGGGGCCGATGAGGCCGCCCGGGGCGCCGCGGGATGTGGCGCTGGAGCTGCCGCCCGCGCTGAGCGGCCCCGCCGCCACCATGGGAGCGAGCGCGGCCGTGGGGCTGCCCGAGCGCCTCCGCCTGCCCGTCTGCTTCCTCGGCGTGTTCGCCTGCTACTTCTACTATGGCATCCTGCAGGAGAGCATGTGAGGGACACCGCACCGGGGACGCCGCCACCGAGCGGGGCGCGGGGATGGGGGAACACGAAACGGGAGTGACTGGGGGGACATGGAACAGGGACAGGGGGACATGGGACGAGCAGGGAGGTACAGGACGGGAGCGGCTGGGGGTACAAGGGACCGGGACACCGGCGAGGGACGCGGGGCTGGGAGCGGGGCAGAACCGGACCCGGCCGGGGTCTCTCCCTGGGTTCTCTCCCCGGTGTCACCGGTACCTGTCCCGCTCTGTTCCCGGTGTGTCCCCGCTCTGTCCCTGGTGTTCCCGGTGTGTCCCCGGTGTCCGTCCCGCAGCACCCGGGGCCGTTACGGGGAGGGAGCGAAGCAGGAGAAGTTCAAGTACGCGCTGAGCCTGGTGTTCATCCAGTGCGTGATCAACGCTGCCTTCGCCAAGCTCCGTAAGTGCGGGACCCCCGCGACCCCCGGCGCGGCTCCGGCCGGGCCCGGGGCCGGTGCTGAGCTCTCCCTGTCCCCGCTGTCCCGGGGCCGGTGCTGAGCTCTCCCTGTCCCCGCTGTCCCCGCAGTGCTGCGCCTGCTGGACGCGGCCCGGCCGGACCGCACTCGGGGCTGGCTGTACGGGGCCTGCTCCCTGTCCTACCTGGGCGCCATGGTGTCCAGCAACGCCGCGCTGCAGTTCGTCAGCTACCCCACACAGGTACGGCACGGGGACATGGGGACACTGAGGGGACACTGAGGGGACACTCGTTGTGACACTGAGCCCAGCTCTCGTTTTCCTGGGGTCCCTTTAGTGTCACTGGGGGTGCAGGGAGGGGCTGAGCGAGCTCCCAGAAGGGGGAGGGATCCCCCAAAATAGGGGGGGGTGTTAATTGGAGGAATTCCCTTGGAGATGGGTGCTGAACGTTCCCTGCTGGGTCTCAGCTGCCCCAGGGGGATTTTTGGGGTCTCAATTTGGGGTGTGGATCATTAACGCCCATCTTCCCTTCCAGGTCTTGGGCAAGTCCTGTAAACCCATCCCAGGTGAGAGAATTCCCCATTTTTTATGGATTTGTGGAGATTTCTGTGCCTCCAGCAGCTCCTCACCTGTCCGAGCCATCCTGGGCTGGGTTGGATTCCAGGGAGGGTTTGGGATCAGTTTGAGGGGTTCTTTCTCCCCAGCCATGATTTGGGAGTGACCTTGTAGGGGTTTAATTGCTGTGGGTGGGTTTTGGGGTCAGTTTTTGACTTCCTTTGTCCCCAGTGATGCTGCTGGGGGTGACCCTGCTGAGGAAGAGGTACCCCCCAGCCAAGTACCTGTGTGTGCTGCTCATCGTGGCCGGCGTGGCCCTGTTCCTGTACAAACCCAAAAAAGATACAGGGGACACCGAGCACGTCTTTGGCTACGGGGAGCTGCTCCTGGTGAGTGCTGGGACCCCACAGGGCTGGGGTCACACCTGGGAGGAGCCCTGGGGGACTCAGGTGGGATGCAGTTCTGGGATTACCCCTGAGATTTAGGTGGGATTTATTCCTCACCTGGGATAAATTCCAGGGTTTCAGGTGGGATTTACACCTGGGATAAAGCCTGGCTCTCATGTGGGATTTACCCCTCACCTGAGATAAACCCCAAATTCTCAGGTGTGCCTTGGAGCTGTAGCAGGACAGGTGTGGGTGAGAGGAGCCTTCCTGTGCTCTGCACACCCCAACAGCCCCAATTAACAATCCCATTTAACAATCCCCTTTAATAACCCCTGTTGGTAACTGCTGTAAAAAATGAGGGAGTTGGCGTTTTCCCTGGGGAGAAGAACCTGGGCCTGATGGTGTCCCCTGTCTGTGTGTCCCCTGTCTGTCTGTCCATGCCCAGCTGCTGTCCCTGACCCTGGATGGCCTCACGGGGGTGGCCCAGGACCACATGAGGGCTCACTACCAGACCAGCTCCAACCACATGATGCTCAACGTCAACCTCTGGTCCACGCTGTTCCTGGGGGCAGGTGAGGGGCTGGGGGTGGGCCCTGGGCCTGGGGCACTCTGGGCTTTGGTTTTGTTGGGGTTTTGTGTTTGTTCGTTCATGGCCCAGCCCTGCCACCCCCTGGAGCTCCCAGAGCAGCTCCTGCTCCTGCTGGAGCAGAAATCAGAGCCCGGGAGGGTTGGGAGGTTCCAGAGCAGCTCCAGCTGGAGCAGAAATCAGAGCCCGGGAGGGTTGGGAGGTTCCAGAGCAGCTCCTGCTCCAGCTGGAGCAGAAATCAGAGCCAGGGAAGGTTGGGAAGTTCCAGAGCAGCTCCTGCTCCAGCTGGAGCAGAAATCAGAGCCCAGGAGGGGCTGGGAGGTTCCCCTGGCACTGGAGGAGCTTCAAGGTCCCTTCCAGCCCAAATCATTCCAGATTAGGCAATAGCAATCCTGATTAATTAGTCCGGGACTGTTCTGTTGGAATTTGATCCCAGTTAATGATCTTTCTTTCACTAATTAACCAGGGGGATGATTGCTTCTCCTGCTGCTGTTTCCCCCTTTGTTTGTGGAATTCATTCCCTGCTTTTGGGGGTTCTGACCCGCTGTGGGTGGGGAATCGTCCCCCAGGTGCTGATCCCGGGCTGTTTTCCAGGGATCCTGTTCACGGGGGAGCTCTGGGAGTTCCTGAGTTTCACGGAGCGTTATCCCAGCATCATCTCCAACATCCTCCTGTTCGGCCTCACCAGCGCCCTGGGCCAGGTCCGTGCTTGGGCCGGGCCCCGCGGGCTTTGGGGTGGGGTTTGGGGTGGGGTTTCCTTCCCTGGGAGGGGCTGGGATGGAATTCCAGGGAATCTGTGCCTGCCCCCCATCCCTGGATGAGCTCCCAGCCCATCCCAGCATTCCAAAACCCCCAGGATTTGAGGGGAGGAGCTCTGTGGTGTTGCTGGCAGTGCCGTACCAGGACTCTGCTCTGTTGGTTTTTTTTTTTCCCCCCCCAGAGTTTTATCTTCATGACCGTGGTGTATTTCGGGCCCCTGACCTGCTCCATCATCACCACCACCCGCAAGTTCTTCACCATCCTGGCCTCCGTGGTGCTCTTTGCCAACCCCATCAGTGCCCTGCAGTGGCTGGGCACCGTGCTCGTGTTCCTGGGTGAGCCTGGCAGGGAAATCCCAGCGGGGTTTGGGGCAGGAGGAGCCTGGAAATGAGAAATGGAGTCGAAAAAAACACAGGGGGTTTCGTCTGGACAAGTCACTGTTGAGCAGGGTTTTCATCAGCAGGGGAATGTAATGGAAAGAATGTAAAAATAGGATGAAGATGTAACATAAGTAATGTAAAAATAGAATATAAATAATGTAAAATAATATAGAAAATCATATAAATTATATTAAAATTCAATATATTTTTCCATTATTTCTATTACATTTCCATATTATTTCGACATCATTTATATTTTTACATTACTTATGTTATATCTTTATCCTAAATAATGTAAAAATGATATTAAAATGTAATAGAAGTAATATAAAAATAATGGGAAAATATAATATAAATAATGTGTAAATATAAGTAATGTAAAGATAATATTGAAATGCAATGTAAGTAATATAAAAATACAATATAAAGAATATGAAAATAATAAAAAGATCAAGTATAAAGTTATATAATAATATAATAATATAAATATTATTATATAATATAAAATATAGCATATGAATTATTATGTAAAAGTAACATTAATAATACAAAGTAGATAATATAAAAATATAGAATGTATAATGCTATAGAATAATATGAACAATATAAAAT